GTTCAGGAATCACTGAATAAAGCCAATAAGATCTTTATACCTGACTCGGTTGAATTTTTTTTTTTTTTTTTTTACAGAAACATGGATGGCTGCAGTGCATGGAAAATGGCAGCATGGAGCAGATAAGGAGGCGCCCACAGGCCCTTGTGCAAACACCCAAAGAGCCACAGAGTGCGGATGAAAAGGGGCACATACGGCAGACGAGACGGGCCCCCCAAACGAGGCACGTCGTCGCCGTGCTGAGATTCTCCCAACAGCATGGCTCGCTAGCGACCGCTTAGGACACTGGCTGCAGTGCATGGAAAATGGCAGCATGGAGCAGATAAGGAGGCGCCCACAGGCCCTTGTGCAAACACCCAAAGAGCCACAGAGTGCGGATGAAAAGGGGCACATACGGCAGACGAGACGGGCCCCCCAAACGAGGCACGTCGTCGCCGTGCTGAGATTCTCCCAACAGCATGGCTCGCTAGCGACCGCTTAGGACACATCAGGACCTTCACTCAAGCGTGGAGGACTTTCTGTGCCTTTTGTCCTAAGCGTATTGGAGCTTATTCACTGTGGATTGGGACGTTAGAGTGAAGACTAGTTCGGCGTGAATCTCATGATCTGTACTTACGAAAATTAAAAATGCATTGATCTATGACATAAGAAAAGCGCTTAAACATTGCAAATTATCTTTTTATACTAAGTCATCACCATAAAATGCAAGAACAAAACTGAACTTCGAACTCATTTCGGAACCGAAGTTGCTGCGAAATATCATTTCAACATGCAAAGGAGAAATCCATCGCTGGTTCTAAGTAAGAAGGAATTTGGCAAGAGAACGTGAAATCCTGCTGAGATGCAGTCTTTCCAGATGATAAGACGGCTCTGAAACTAAGAGCGGCACTCGGGGTCTGGAACAGAGGCAGGGTCGCCCCTGCCACGGCCCAGACTCCGAAGGCTGCCGGTGCGGTGCGCTCACCCCAACGCGACGGGGGCGCAGCTACTGACCACCTCGGGCAGCCGAAGGGAAGTCGAGGCGAAGCGGCCAGCGAGAGGCGAATGGCAGGGCCCCGAGGTGGCTGGTTCCCCGGCGGGGGCCGCTTGGCCAGGACTCGCCTGCGGGGGGTGGGGGCGGGGCGGCGCTGCTTTGGAGCAAAACAAAATAAAACCCGAGAGTCACCCTGACCGAGGCCGCTCGGGCGAAGCCCCTGCCCCACCTGTGCTGGGGAACTGCGTCCCTGAGTGCTCCCAGCCCCTGTCCCAGGCTCTTCGCGGCCATCTTCCTCGTGACCAGGGCAAAGCCAGCGCCAGGCCCAGCAAGTGGCCGCGTCTCTCCCGTGGCGGCCGACACTGCCGGCTGCCCACCCTACGCCCGTGGCCCGGTTTCTCCCTTGCTAACAGGACCCCCGTATCGCTGTGATGCGCGAGGCGCCCAGCGGAAGAAACACACGTGGCATGTGGGATGTCCGATCTTGGGCCAACCGTTTTTGCCAGAAAGCGTGTGGTGTCTCCTACCCCCGAGGCCCAGCCCTCCGGGCAAAACGAGTCCAAACTGCTTGAGTTCTAGAGTGTTCCGTGATCAGGTTCGAGTGAGGCTTCCAGGCTACATTTACATTTACAGACCATCGGGAAAAAAAGAGAGGACGGAACAGGGCATCGCACCCTGGAGACCTCGCCGTCAGGCGGACGTGAGGGCACCGCCATCCGGGGCCCAGCTGGCATCAAAGGCGCGCGTTTTACTAAAATCCCGACCCCTTTTCCTTCCTTTCCTTACAGTACGCGTGTTTGCTCCAGCTTCAGAATGAGGTGGTCCCACCCGCATCTCCGGATGCGACCGACGCCCGGGAGACCCACACCGTCTGTCCTCGGGTCCCCTTCCCCTCACCCCGGGGGGCGGGGGCTGCCCAGTTAGAAAGCAAAGGCCTTTCTCTCGGTCCTGACCTTCGGGGCTGGGTTCGACCTTCTCAGCGCCCCCCGTGATGCAGACGCCCATTGTCATTGTCCCACAGACCAGCAGGCGAAGCGGGCGGGGGATGAGGGAAGGGGGAGGGGCGCCACATGCGAGGGTTGGGTCGGGGACCACAGATGGCCTTGCACTAGCAAGGTCGCCCAGGCTTCTGTCAACGGCCTCGGGCCGCTGAACAGATGCCCGCGATCCCGCTGACCCTAGCATGACCACTGGGCCTGAGCCACGACCTTGAGCGAGGTGAGCCTTTGGGTTCCGTGGAGACGAGGACGCGTCACCGTGTTTCTAAGGGCAGGCACGAGCCCAGTGGTTCCGAGCCCGGCAGCCCAGTCGGTGTGGCTCTGCGAACCCGGGATGCGGGACCAGCCCGCGCGGCTGAGAACCGGTGTCCCGTCAGCACGGAAAACGCGACACTTTGAAAAACGTGCATCTTTTGCTTTTTTGCACCATATAATGCTGTATTGTCATCACCAACGTCAGGCAAATTCGCAAGTTAAGTTTGGACACCTGTCGAGGTGGCAGCTGTCGTTCCCTCTGTCCCGTCCGCTCACTGCCTTCCTCTTGGCAACGGGGCCTGTTCCTGGGGGACTGCCCGCCTCCCCCACCCCGGGTCATGCTGGATCGTCACCGGCCACGCATCGTCGTCCCCTCGTGGCTGGGATGAGGCTGGGCTGCGAGCGGAGAAAATGATGCCGAAACGCAAAGCAGGATTGAGAGAGAATCAGAGAGACACGGGGGTGTCTGAGGACGGGGGTGTCTGGGGACGGGGGTGTCTGGGGACGGGGGCGTCTGGGGACGGGTGTGCCCACGCAGTCCCCGTGCGCCCACGTCACCCACATTCACGTCCTCGCTCCCCGATCACCTCAGCCCAGAGTCCTGGCTTTTCACACTCTACGGCAGGTTATATATTTTTTCACACACACTAAAATTGTACCAGAAGTTTATTTTAAACTTTTTCCCTAGTTCTATCGTGATACAATTAACATATAACATTGTGTACGTTTAAGGCGTGTGACATAATGATTGGATGCGTATACTGTGAAGTGACTACCACGCGAAATCAGTCATCCGTCACCCACACGATTACGATATTCTTCAGTGCCAGGGGTTTAACACAAAGGACGTCACGATGAGCGAAACTAAAATACCTCAGTCCTGGGGAGAAGCTCGCATTTGGGGGATCGCGGTGGGTGAGAAACCGCAGTCACTGTGGTCACGTAACCTCGTCACTCATCGGAGCGCTTGATTTTCGCCCCGCAGTGGGTGCAGGGGGTGCTCCCTGCGAGGACCAGTAATTAGGTCACTTCTGCGTTTGTGGGGAGCTTCCCCGGAGAGACTTCACTTAGCTGGGGTCTCAGAGGCCCGCTCGAGCTTCCTCGTTCGGCCTGGGCGCCCAGTGTCTTCGTCAGGCCTCCCCCCTCCCCCCTCCCCCTCCTCCCTCATCCCTCCTTCCTCAGCACCTGCTTGGCGGGTCCCCATGCGAACCGAGAGAGGGGCCCTTCCTGGCCCAGGTCTTTCTGGAACTTTCCAGGACGCCTGGGAGCTGCGGAGAGCCAGCGTTCTCCTGGCCCATCGCCCGTCGGCCGTGTCATTCTGACCCGAAGTTTCCGGTGACTCGGCGTTCGATGGCCTGGGGTCGGTCGTGTGATCGTGATGAAGGTCGTCCGTGTGTTCCTGTTCTGTGTGCTTAACTGACGGTTTAAGGTTCGAAACAACCCTTTTCAGATCATGACTCAGCGTGTGCCTCGAACGTGCGCCGTCGCCCCAGGAATGGCGGACTCTGCTCTCCTCTCGGAGTCACACTCACCTGACGGCTTTCCGAGGGTTCGAGGCCTCGTTTTATTCTAGAACTGTCTGTATGGCGGAGCTCATGGCGGTCCTCGAGGACTTCCAGGTCCCGCAGTCTGGCCTTAGTCGCTTACGACCTCTTCCTTTACTGGTCATGTGCATTTCCTCCGCCTGTTCCGGAATTTCGGCCGCGCTGATGTCTTATGCCAAATGGGTCACCTCCGGTTCCAGGCACCGGCTCCTGTTTTGAGCGTTTTACGCTGACTGCCCTGGAATCAGACCGCCGTCCGGCCCGTGCACCTGTTCGAGAGTCTCGGTTATTCCGATCTTCAGGTGCTGGAAGCTTGTTGACTCCAGTTTCTTCTTCAAAATCTATTTATTTCTAATTCGCAGTGAGCTCGCCAATCGGCATGCGATGAACGTGCTCGTCCCGGGTTCTGCTCGTTTGAAACAATAGCCCCGGACCTCCCGAGGGAATCGGGAAAATGCCCGACTCCGTTAAACTGTCTTCTGCACTTGGAAACACGTGCCGACTGTCTTATTACGTACCGTCATTTGCTTTCAATCTGTTTTTACCAGTAATGTTGCATACTGGAGAGAAAATAGAACTCACCCGATTTGTATCCTGAAATAAATGACACCCTTGGGTAAAGTTGGGGATGGTTCGTCTTGTTAATGCTAAAGCTTTTTAACTATTTATTTTGAAAAAACATTCAAACTTACGCATAAGTTGCAAAAATCGTATAATGAACTCCCATGTCCTTCAGCCAGACATATCAGTTGTAAACACTTTCGCACGATGTCACATGAAATGCATGGCTTATGTCTCCCTTTCTTTCTCCTTACGCATCTGTTCTTATATGTGCATATGCATGGATGCACGCATGCATATAATTATACTACCATTATTACTTCACCATGTGAGAGAAAGTTACAGATACAATGACCCTTTAGCTCCAAATATTTCGTCATACATTTCCCCATAAAAGGGCCATTCTCTTATACAACCTCAGCGAAGGAAACCAAATTTAGGAATTGAATACTGCTATAGTGTTCTCATTTAATACAGACTAAATTCAAATTCTACCAGTCGTTTTAATACGCTGGGTAAGGATAGGTGGAGGCCCAGTCGACTAAGATAAGGGGTATTAACTTGCTTTTAAAAATAAATCTATATCGTAAATATTAAAAAGGTCAGGTTTTCTGGGGAGAAACAGACTTAGTCAATGAGAATTATTTAAATAGTCAAAAAGCCATTAGAGTGATCATGTCTGTAACACACACGAAACTGAAACAATGCAGAGCAGATGAGCAAGGCGCCAGCACGAGGATGGCACGCAAAGTCACGCGGCATTCAGTGCATATTTCTGAAAGGAAATAAAAAGATTGAGAGTTATAGACTGAATTATGTCTTCCCAAAATTCACATGTTGGGGCCCTAACTGCCAATGTGACATATCTGGAGACAGAAACTTTAAAAGGAGAGGTCGTAAGGATAGTTCCTGAATCCAGTATGATTAGTGCTTTTGTAAGAAGAAGAGATATCGGGGCGTGGGGCGGGCAAGGTGCTCACACCCAGGAAAGACCATGTGAGGACACAGCAAGGTCATGGCCATCTGCAAGCCAGAAAGAGAGCTCTCGCCAGGACCCTGCCCGGCTGGTGCCTTGATCTTGGACTCCAGCCTACAGAACTGTGGGAAACGAATTCCTGTTGTTTAAAGCGCCCAGTCTGTGGTGTCTTCTTGGGGCCGTCCTAGCAGACTAAGACATTGGGTAAAAAGAGAGGTAAAAATGATGGACCATCCTTCTCACAAGTTGCTTAAATCAGATTCGATGGATGAAGCAAACATTCTAACACCATCTGATGTAGTGCTCAATGTATGTAGGGGGAAATTCTTAAGACAATTCTATTTAAAAAGCGGAAAGGGTTAAGAGGCCTAAATGGAAGTAAGCATTCAGTACTTAACTCGAAGTGGTAAGATTTTGATACACGGGGGCTCTGATGATGTTATTTATATATGTCCAGGACATATATAACATCTATAACAGCCACAAAGAAAAGTACAGAAAGCAATATGACCAAAAAATTATAAAATAATTTAAATAGAATTCTAAAAAATGCTGAGGCGATCCACAAGAAAAGAGAAAACAAACAAAACAAATACTAAAATGGCAGACTTCAGCCGTAAACATCAATAATTGCTCTAAAGGTAAGTGGTCTAAATACACCAATTAAACAACAGAGAGAGTGGCAGAGGAGACAGACAAACGATACGCTGTCCAAACAAAATTCATTCTGAACTTAAGCACACAGGTAGTTTGAAATTAGAAGAATGAAGAAAAGATATATTATACGAAATCAAAAAAGTAGGAGCAGCTACATTATATCAGATAAAATCAACTTTAAGGCGTAGAAAATTCCTAGGGACCAAGAGAGGCACTGCATAGTGATGAAAGGATCAAGTCACCGAAAAGGATAGAGCAATCCTAAAAATGTGTGCACCAACCAAACAATGGAACTTCAAAAAGCATGAAGGAAACACTACAAAAAAAAATAACCGAAAGGAGAAAGAGACAAATGCACAATTATAGTTGGGTCCTTCATCACCTGAGTCTCAGCAATCGACAGAACTTCTAAATCGAAAGTCAGCAAGGATATAGAAGAACTAAACACCAGCAACCAACACAATCTAATTAACATTTGTAGAAAACACATCCCAGTACAGCAGGATACACATTCTTTTCAAGCGCTCATGGAACGTTCACCAAGACAGACGATATCTCAGAAGATTAAAAAAAATTTTAACAAATTTAAAAGAACTGAAATCATGCAGTCTGTTCTCCGATCATAATGGAACTCAATAACAGAAAGTCAAAAGAAAAATCTTCAAACATGTGGAAAGTAACCAACACGATCCTAATTAATCCGTGGGTGCCAGAGGAAGACTTGAAGAAATTTAAAAATATGTCAAAATGAATGAAAAAAAGAAAACAAAACATATCAAAAGTTATGAAATGCAGCTAAAGCAGTGCTGAGAGGAAAATTTATAATACTACACGCATAATGAGGAAAAGTTTCAAATAACAGCAGACAACCAGAAAAAGAGCAAAATAAACCAGAAGAAAGTCAAAAAAAAAAAAAAAAAAAAAGAAAGAAAGACAGAAAAAAGAAAAGAAAATAGTAAAGGTTATAGCACAACTCAATAAAATTAAAAATAGAAAAAAAATCAATGAAACTAAAGGTAGTTCTTTGGAGAAAAAACTCAATGAAATATAAAAGCCTCCAGCAAGACTGACAAAAATAAAAAGATATAGCTCACCCTATCAGAAACGAAACAGGAAATGTCGTCACAGATCCTTCAGCATCAAAATGTTAGTAAGGGAATATTACACATTTATGCTCATGAACTTGACAGCTTAGAAGAAATGGACTATTCCTCCAACCCCACAAACTACCGAAACTCAGCTGAGATGAGAAAGGTAATCTTATAACCTTCAGAGTCTTATAACCATTAAAGAAGCTGAATTTAGAAATCTCCAGACCCAGACAGTTTCACAAGAGAATTTTATGTAACATTTAAGGAAGAATTAACATGGAATTTTATAGAATCTCTCCTGGAAGAATAGATGAGGAGAGAATGTGTCCCAACACATTTTATGAAGATAGTATTATCCTGATACCAAAAACAGAGAAAAAAAGATAACCACCTCCTAAATGTAGACACAAAAATTCTCAGCAAAATAGTCGCAAATCCAATCTCACAATACACCACAAACAAGGAGAATTTCCAGATACACGAGGCTGGTTTGATATTCAAAAGTCAGTCCACGTGAACCGCCAACAAGCTAAGTAGTCAAGGGAGGCAGAAAAAGCACGTGACCAATCCTGTACTCAGTCATATACGGTCTCTCAGCAAATCAGGAGCAGAGGGGACTGACCTTCTCCACAGCTGTCTCACGCTCAGGAGTTAGGACTGAATGCTTTCCCGTTAAGACTGGAAACGAGGCAGGGCCGTCTGCTCTCACTCTGCTAATTCTGCTCAATACTGGATGTGCTCGTACAGCAGAATTTAAAACACAAAAAGACTCTAAAAGCCACACAGATTTGAAAGAAAGAAAGAAAACTGTCTTTATTGAGGATGATATGATTGTCTACATAGAAAACCTCAAGCAATCTACAAACAGAAAATGAGCTCGGTAAGATGATAAGACACAGAATAAACACACAAAAATCAACTGGATTTCTATTTTCTAAAAATGAGTAAGTGGAAATATAAATCAAAAATGAACTACCATTTAAAACTGCTCCAAAGAAAACAAAATCTTATATAGAGATCTAACAAAATGCTGAAGGAAGAAATGAAAGAAGCCCTGGATAACTGGAGGGACATCCCATGTTCATGGATATGAAGATGTCGGTTACTCACAAGCGGATACATAGGTTCCATGGAATCTCCATCAGAATTCCAGCAAAATTTTCTAAACATAGACAGGCTCATTCTAAAATTTATATGGAAAAGGAAAGGCCCTAGAATAGTCAAAATAATTGAAAAAGAAGAAACAAGTTCAAGGAATCACTGTTCTCTATGTTAGGGCTTACGATATAGCTTGTGATTGACATGATGTTGGCGGAGAGTAGACACATAGGTGAATAGAACGGGCCAGAGAACACAGAAAGAGACCTACCAAATACGCTGATTCACTTTTGACAAAAACCCAAAAGCAATTCAGTAGAGGAGGGGTGGCCTTTCCCACACACAGTGCTGGAGCAAATTAACAACTTCAGGCAAAAAAAAAAAAAAATCTAGATACAGACCTCAAACCTTTCACACAAAAAAATAAGTCAAAATGAATCATAGACCAAAATAAAAATTGCAAAACTTTAAAACTTCTGGAAGATAACATAGGAGAAAATCTAGGTGACTCTGGTTCGGCAATGAGTTTTTTAGATACTGCGCTAAAAGCGACATCAGCGAAAGAGAAAACTGGTAAGCTGGACTTAATTAAAATTAAAAAACAAAAAACAAAAAAAAACTCATCTGTGAAGACATCATTAACAGATTGAAAAGATAAGCCATGGACTGGGAGAAAATATTTGCCAAAACATATCTAAGAACTTGTACTGAAAATATACAAAGAACTCTTAAAACGTGATAAGAAGGCAATACAACCTTAAAACGGGCTGAAGACCTGAACAGACACCTCACTAAAGAAAATGTACAGATGGCAAATAAGTGTATGAGAAGATGCTCCACCTCGGGTGTCATCTGGGACATGCGAGTGTAAACAGCAACGTGCCACACCACGCATCTGTCCGAATGGCCACGGCCTGCACCGCAGACGGCACTGAACGCCGGCCGGATCCGCCCGCTGGCGGCGGCAGGGCAGAATGGCGCGGCCGCTTTGGCAGGCAGCCCGGCAGTTTCTTACAAAACCAAACATCCTCTTACCATATGAATCAGCAGGCGTGTTCCTTGGTATTTACCCAAAGGAGCTGAAAACGTCTGCGCACACAGAAACTGCACGTGACATCCACAGCAGCTTTAGTCATAACGGCCAAAACCTGAACGCGACCAAGATGTCCCTCAGTGGGTGACGGATAAACACACTGGGCTGCATCGGGACAATGAAATACCATCCAGCGCTAAAAACAAATGCGCTCTCCAGTCATGACACGCCCTGGAGGAACCTCACGTGCATGGCACCAAGTGAAAAAGCCAGTCCAAAAAGGCTTCATACTGTGCGACTCCAACTCTCTGACACTCGGGAAGAGGCAGAAACTGTGGAGACCGTGGAAAGACCACAGGGACCAGGAGGACAGATGGACAGCTGGAGCACAGAGGACTTTTAGGGCAGTAAAAATACTCCGACACTATATACACAGTGGTCAAAACGCAGAACGTCCAACGCCGAGAGTGAGCCCTGATGTGCCTACGGCTTCGGGTAATGACAGTGATACGTCTTTGCCTGGAAGGGGGCAGGTTAGGCTCGCCTAAGTCTCTGCGAGGCAGCAGGCCGGTGGTCTCGTTATCACAGAAACGGCCATCAAACTGGACGGAGACGCGCCCTCCGCTGACCGGTGCTAGCGAACGGTGTGGGCACGCGTGCCTGCTCAGGCGTCGGACTTTGCCCGGCGGGCAGCCCGGTGGGACTCACAGTGGGCCAGATAATCACAGTAGAGAGACTGGCCGCGGGTGACGTGGCAAAGGACGCGGGAGGGAACGGTGACGGCCTGGGGGTGGTTCCAGAAACATCCCCGGGGATGAGAGCCCAGTCAGGGCTGAGTGGCTCCGTGAAGCAGGGTGGCAACGTGTCCCCACCCCACCCCCTGCCCCAGCCCCTCACAGACCCTGGAAAATATGAAAG